ACCTCTATGATGGAGTGCTCTGGAGGTTGCCTCTCTTGTACACTCGAGCCTGAGCATGCTCCGGTTTGGCGGCAGCATGTTTGGGGGGTGTAGGGGGGCCCCCCGTCTCTCCTGGTTTGGCGGAGGGAGCGGGGGGTCGGGGCCCCGAGAGGTAATGGAGTAGAGTATGTGTTATCTATGTTTGACCAACTCTCTGCAACGCGTGAAAAGAAAGCTGGTGGTTGTGTTTGTTCGTATGTCCACATGAGTAAACACAACACCATATGCGTTTTCACCGTAGCATTGGGCTCGAAGGGCCCTCCCTTCCCTCCCAGTTGCGGAGGTTGAAAATGAGAGTGGGAAGTTTTTTCGCGAGTTTTTTTCTAGAAACAACCTCTATGATGGAGTGCTCTGGAGGTTGCCTCTCTTGTACACTCGAGCCTGAGCATGCTCCGGTTTGGCGGCAGCATGTTTGGGGGGTGTAGGGGGGGCCCCCCGTCTCTCCTGGTTTGGCGGAGGGAGCGGGGGGTCGGGGCCCCGAGAGGTAATGGAGTAGAGTATGTGTTATCTATGTTTGACCAACTCTCTGCAACGCGTGAAAAGAAAGCTGGTGGTTGTGTTTACATATATTACTAGGTAATTACATACACATTGTTTACACTGCGTACTGCTTTTTTGGAGTCAGGGAGTGTTTGGTGCGCAAAGGTTACATCTCGACAGGAGCCAGCCAATGTTGCATGAAACTGTGGGCCACTGAATTTAAGAGGCCAGATGCAGACAGCTGGGTTGGCTGTGTCGAGCTGTTGGTGTTTTGATTTGTTTTGGTTGCTCCTCTTCTCGATTTTTGAGGCCGGCCTTTGATGGATGCTTTGGAAAAGCAGGTGGTGTCCACTGTGAGAGGTGGGCCCATCAGTGGACCTCGCAGAGCCTGTTGTTTGGATTAAATGTTGTACAGTACTCACTACTCACTTGGTTTAAAGATTGGTTTGACGCCATGCTTTCATTCAAAGTTTCACCATTCTTGTTTTGGTTCTGTTTGTCATTCTTGTTTTACACCGAAGTGCCATGAAGAAGGGCCGCGTTATTGGTGCCATCCAGGTTTTGGCGAGCGAGACCTGGCTGAAATGAGGTTTGGCGCGCAATGTGGCTGAGATTGGTAGTTTTAGCACCAACAATCAGATCCATGTAGGTAAGTCACGGGGCGAGGGTTCTGCCGGGAAGGAACTGGTGTCGGCAGCGACCAACCAACCTGGCCCCGTGTGCCACAGCTGTTTCAGAGTGTCAGCATGCAGACAGGCATATATGATATGACAGTAATTGGCTGTCACACTAGCTATGCTTCAAGCTACACTGAGTTCCGACTAACTGTAGAAGGAGACGACATGCCGAAGAGAACTGAAGCACAAACACCGTGGGCCCGTGTGCGACAACCAACTGCACCGAAGACACGCAAGCGTAGTAACGTAGCTTGGTCCTGTATGGCCGGCAGCATCCTTTGAACTTAGTGCTGTTCGACCTACATTCAGGCTTCGGGCAGATCCGTGGGATGAGTGTCCTTCTCATTGCTGCTTCTAGCAATGTGCCGGCCAAGGTTGTAGACTCGAACCATCTTGGAAAAAAACAGGTGCAGCAGTGCAGGAGCCGATTCTACAGGTCACCAGGTGAACATAGGTAAACCAAATGGAACCAATTTCCAGTCTGTCAGCCTTTGTCCTTTCGGAGGCCTATCATGGAGCCGACCACCATCATCCAGCGGCTTTTGGGAGGTTCCCTGGATGCAACATTGAATAGTGTATTGAATCCTTGAATTATTATTCAATAGTTGCTTCAGAAACGATCATGCCGAATTGTGTTCATCCTCGACTGGTACAGCTCGGGCTCGCAGCCCATTGTCCAACCCGCGGTGAAACAAGTACGTTCAATCTCAGCGCCTGCTTTCCAAGATGCCTGGATTCAGCGTAGGACTCATCTACAGGTTGCATTTGGTGTTTTTTTTGCTTTCCAGGCAAGCTCGCGATGGACCTACAAGAGTTTGAATTGCCCAAACAGCTCCTGGGTGGCAGTTGCACGACCAACCAGAAGCTCCAGGATGCCCAAACAAGCGCCACCAGCTGCGAACAAAAATACGACTTAGGCGATCGGTCAGCATCGGAAGCAACATGGGGCACATCGAAAAGCATGCGACTTGATGTCAATTGGAGCGCGGTTGATTTCTTTCTTTCCAGCCCCAGGCAGCACATCCAAACAAGCAGGTCCACAGGCACCTGGAAAACCTTGCGATGTTGACCGCCCAAGGTATACTACTGGGAGCCCAAATCGCTGAGGATCAGGAATCAAACTTGTGTCATTTTGCGTCACTGATTGGGATGATATATGATGATATATAATATGGAGCAATGGTTGGAATTTATGCAAAGGATTCTAGAACAGCCCTGCTGTCGATGTTCGCTTGTGCTTGTCTAGGACCATCAACTGGTCCTATGTGTTTTTGGCAGAGTACTTGCCCTACGCCTATGGCGTGGCAATCGCAACGGCAACTCTAATGTGGCACTATGTTTTTTTGGTGTGTGTGTGTAAGGATTGCAATTTGCGCAAAAGTGGGAAGTAGCATGAAGTGTTCGGTGCTTTTCTACAACAGCAGCTATAGCATGACCATCATCACTGGTAAGTATTGGTCTCAGCTATTCCTGAAGCATCCTTTGTAGCACTTATTTCTGGCGAACCATGGTTTGGAGCACTTATTGGAAGTTTGAGCGTTAATTGAGGGTATGTACACTTTTCAGGACATATGAGGGCATAGGTATCAAAAAAAATAAAAAGAGCATCAACAAAAAAAAGGGTATCAAAAAAAAATAAAAAGCGAATCAAAAAATAAATATTCCTTGATAGGCCTCTTCTGCTGCTCTCTTGGCCTTGTGGTCTGCGGGTCCTCTGGTCCACTGGTCCTTTGGTCCCCTGGTCCCTTGGTCCTTCAGTCCACTGGTCCCCTAGTCCTCCGGTCTCCTGGTCCTCTGGTCCTGTGGTCCGCCGGTCCCCTGGTATCCTAGTCCTTCTGTCTCCTGGTCCGCTGGTCTTTTGCTCTCCTACGGCGCTCGTCTGTCGATCTCCTGGTCCCCTGCTTGCGCAAATAGAGGCTTGATTGCTTTCTACTAGAGGCAGCTCCCTGGGAAGAAAGTAGGTACCCAACGATAAGGTTGCCGTCCAGTCATTGAGTAGCCCTACTCGAAAAATGGTTCACCAGTAGAAATAGCTCCCTACTAGGAGGGGCAGTGGGCTAGAATATGTTTTTTTGATTCCCTTTTTATTTTTGTTTATTGATCCCCGTTGAATATTTTTTTGTTGATTCTTTTTTTTTGATCCCTTACCCACATATGAGCGCTTTTTGGTGATGTAAATTCTAAAGCCTACTGGTTCCTGACCAGTGTCCTTATCAACCCTTGTGGGCCTTTGGGGGCCCTATGGACCGGGTGGAAATCCTATATGACCTCCTACTAATTAGTAGTATGTGCAAATGAAACCACAAAGGTTTGGTTCCAACCTTCTGGGCGTGCTTTACAACAATTTTTCCAAAAAGGGTGCCCGCAACTTGGGCGCAAATTCCCGCAACCCGGGCGCAAATTCCCGCAACCCGGGCGCAATTTTAAAAAGTGGCGGATTGTTATTTTACTTACTGTAAATATTTTATGTTGATACTGATGATCAAAGAAAGGGGTTGCTGGCTGCCGCTTCGTAGTGTGTGAGCGTGTGTTGTGTGTGCATGGGATGGGTGCCAGCATGTAGCAGGGGAATGGACTTGAAGACCACATAAGGTGGAATGAAGCTACATCTGACTTTCCAGTGGTACGCTTTTTCAAGGCATGAACACTTTTTTTGATGATGGCAGTTTTTTTTTTGTCACTTTTTTCTGCTACGACGGAGACGGAGGGTTCAGGTTGTTTAGGGTGAAGCCTCTTGACCGTCTTTTTCCACAAAATAAGGTTGGAAGCCTCATGATCTCCCAGCTGTACATGTGGCGTGTGGAAGATTTCCGCCGAGCTTGGTACTTGGTACAGGAGCCTCTTGTGATGCAGGCGCGTGTCTAGAAGCAAGGAAGGTTTAGAGATGAAGGTCGCAAAGGATGGCGCTCTGACTCTTGCAAGCAGAAGCCCTCAAAGTGTATGATTGAGCGAGACACACTGCGCCGGTGTTTTAGTCAGAGCTGGTCGGGCAGGTCATTGGCGCGTGTGCACTGATCATTGCCTATTTGAATCAGCACAAGCCGTCGGTGTACTGTTTCCTAGCTTGCATCAAGAAGCAAGAGAAGGGTGTCAGGTTCAGGTGCAGGGATGGTGCAATCGCGGGAACTTATCTTGACATATGCTGAATATGGGCAGGGTCAGTGCGGATGCCATCGACGTCGGGTGAGTTCGCTCGCATCGGGTGCTCATGGATGCGCACTGATTGCAATCCGTGGACTCAGACCGGGGGTTGTCCTGAATATATGAGCCCCCCAAATCTGGGCATATCGTGACGTGATGTGTCCAATCACTGGTCGGCTATCAGGCCGCAGTTTTGTGCCGGATTGGACGGAATCCACCCTTCCAGCAATTCCGTTCAGCGCTCAGGCTTGGACAACTTGGTTTACAAGCCACCCGCGGATTGGAAGGCGAGTGGGGCCGGGGTACCTGCTGAGTGCAGCATAGTATGTTGGTTTTCTGATGGCTTGTAAGATTTGTTCTGTGCACGCTACATGACCAACTATACTCCTGAAGGGTTTCGGGAGGCCCTCAGACAGGTATCGCACGTATCGCTTTTTTGGGGTGTGACCATGAGTGGAGATGGAATCGGCCAGGCACAACACCTCGAATTGTTACAGTAGAGTTTGTGACCCTCGAATTGCTAGAGACGGCTTCACACTTGATGATGTCTATGCCTCTATGCTCATCCGCATGGAGGTGTCCAGGGAGGAAGTCCTGAAAATGCTGCAAGCCCAGAATTGCTTCAGTGAACCTTGGCTGAATTGGAATTTCCGCAATCAAGTGGGGGAACATCCACGAGCCCACCTAAGGAGAACTCTTTGGAATTCCAGCGGCGGATTTTGGAGAATTCGGGCACCGGGGAATCAACGCATTGGCCACCAGGTGGGCGGATTTCTGTGTTGAGAATGGATGGAGAGGCCATTGTCGGCATGATATATATATATATATTATATATACTTTCATCTATTCCAATGGGCAGCTTGGTGCAGTTTGTTACTGTTTTGCTCAAAGGCCGTAGGACAAAGAGGGCGGTTGTGGATCCAAAATGCCAGGCATCCTGGGCTCCAGAGATGGCAAGACAGAGGCACAGTTCGATCCATGGTTGTCTTATGTTGTCGTCCGGTATCATGGAGACATCACATCAATTTATGTAATACACACACCCACTATGTAAATTCAGAGGCCTAAGGTATGCATAAGACATCATAAGACCTTCGTGCTATAATGAACATTTTCTCCGGAACGCGTCTAGCATGGCAAGGCCGGGGTCCAGGAAACTTCCGCGGCCACGGGGGCCCGAGCACGGCAAAATGACCAGATATCTTTGTCATGCTTGTCGCCATGTTTTGTCTGTGGGCACGCGAAGCATACCGGCAAGGGGGTGGTACACCAAACGCTTTTGCCCGTGACGATCCATGCTAATCCGCACTAATCCGCGTTGATCCGCATAGGCAGTTCCCCCATGTTCCCCTTCTCGGTATGCTTAGCAGTACCAACAGCCCGGAGCACTATTCCCAACAAGACGGCTTTGTGAAAGCCTACGCTAGTTTGCTTTGCAGCCGCAGTGTGCGCTGGACACACTGCAGACCGAGCACCACGCCGTGCCACAGATTCCACGGGCTCCACAACACTGGAGCACCACGCCTGAAACCTCGGCGGCTAGATATATTATATTAATACAGTATATCCATACTGTATATAAATTTTACAGTATACAGCCATGTGCAGTCAGGCGGAACATTACAATGATGCACTTTTGCATACATATATATATATATATGTATATTGTATATACTTATATACACATGATATAGAATGTGTATGCAGATCTAATAGGCAAAAAGACAATACATGATTTTGCCCTCGATCACACGAGCTTGCAACGCCACCAGATTTCACCAGGCCGTGGGCATGTGCTTGATTTCTACCTCGAACTCTCCTGTATCATCAGTATCATCCCTCCTTTGGTTGCCTTGGTATGTCGCTAGAATCGATGCTTCGATTCTTTCCGCAACTCTCCTTCGAGGCGAATTGCAACATGGCAGCGGCGCGGAGTGAAGCCAAAGAGGCCCCAGTCGTCACCGTTTGAAGCGCCGGGACGCTGTGGAGCGCCATAGGTTTTCGCATCCAGGGTGCATAGTACTTGTAGTAGATTCAGGACCAACAAAAGGTGGGAGCCTTCGAAAAAGTAATGGCACATAATGGCACCCTTTTATACAGTATAGAGGGGCCGTATTAAAGGGTTCCTTTCCAATTTGTGCTGTTTCTTATTTAGTTTAGACAACTTTTTAACATGTTGTTTCCTTTAGGGTGCCCCTCTTCGGGAAGCGTTCCTTGAGGGGGGGCATCACGGAGCATGTGTTTTTTGGTGGTGCCTTTGCATAATAGACGCCTCAGAACATGGGATGAAGCCAAGTGGTTGGTTTGGTGTTGGTCGAGCAGAGCATTGGAAGTTTGGAAGGCCAATCATCGTAAAAACATACTCACTTGCAAGTCATCGTTCAGCTCAACAGCAGCATCGAGGCCAGATGAAGTCACACCGTCACACCCATTTTTCTTTTCCCCGGGATTAGTCATCATGTATCGACAATCTTTGACAACTGTTTGCTATTTCATACGTACCAGTGGATGGACATGGGGAGGCACCAGAGCCAGTAAGATCCCAGTTGCAGGTGATGTTCTCCTTGGTGAGAGATTTGCTGAAGCGTTCCAAGGTGCGAGCTCAATGTGGACTTGGAGGGACGGGGCATTTGATCAAATCCCCAAAGATGGAACTAGAAAGAAAAGGCCCAGACAGGAAGGGAGAGGATGGGATAACGACAGAGCAAGGATCCCACCAGGGCAGGGAAACCATCCCAGTCATTTTTCTCACCTTTGCACCACAGTTGCATTTTTTCAGCGCCAGAATAAATGCCTCTATTCCGGAGGCAGGGCTAGTTTGGCCACCCAGTCACCGAGGTTTCTGTTGAGGCACTTGCCATAGTTGTAATACGTGTGTTCTTTAAACATGAGTTTTTGTGTTATATAGCCTTGGATTGAGGCAAAGGATGTAAATGTACGAGTATGCGCCAAGCAACCCATCGTTTTGACGATTTTGGTGTTTGTTTCATTCAACCTGGAGGCAGAGAGACGGTTGTGTGAGTTGAACAAAATTTGCGGCTCCCTTGCTTTCAACGCCACTGGGTTGCCCTCGTGGTGTTTGCATGTGTTTGCCAGGTGAAGCCAAAGCAAATTGATTTTCTGATTATCAATTGCTCTTTGTGGCTGGTCGATGAAGTACTTTTGAGTTGTCAATGATTGTCAGATCATGGCATACCTAACAATACATCACTTAAAGCACTCACCAATACTTACACGCTGTAGCTGACACATCGTATGGGATACAGGTCGGCTGGACAGTGGCGAGGTCAATTACCAAGACCACTATATAAGAACAGCTGAATGTTTGGCTTGGGGATGCAATGGGGTTTTGCAATGTTTCACCTATCCTGGAATCAATTACATCCAGAAAAAGCGATAACAATATATATATATATTCTGATTGGGATTCCTGTTTGGCCTAAACGTACTGTGATTCCTTTGGTGTAAGGTTTTGTCCTACCCCATCACTTTGCGCACTCGTATGCAATGAGTTCGGGTTGCGCCAGGCCTTTTTGAGAACATGTCGAACTGGACACTTTTGGCAAGTTTTTGCTGTAGAAAGCCATGACCATGGCAGACCCGACGCGAAATCACCAGGATGTCCGATCCTACAATCTTGGTGGAATGGGTTGCTCCGCAAATGTCAGCCACTGAGTTAAGTCACTTCAAGAAAATCTCCTCACTGCTATTACTGGCCTGTGTTTTGCTTTTGTGTTGGACCACGTTGTTAGGTAGATTTGGTTCCTTGAAGTTGTGCTGTTTGGCAAGCTCATGTTGCGCTCTTTGGCAGGTTATATCTGTAGATTTGGCTAAGCAGCTGTTGGAAAATCGCCCTGGTTCGAGGGCTTTGGTCATTTCTATGGAGTGATTTGGCTAAGCACTGAATGTTGGTTTTCCGTGTTCTCATCTACACACATATGAGATCGCAAGATCTTGAAGGTCCAATGCAACATGTGGGAGTTTTCTTTTTTGGGGGCAGGGGATATGGAGTGAGGACAGGAGACATCGCAAAATGTGCCAATGTGCAGTAAGAAGTATTTGCGGTTGATTGCTGTGCTAGCCTTTCAATCTCCCCCGGCAGCTTGAGGAACATCACCCAGAATTTATACAAAGGCAATGACAAATCCATGCTGTTGCAGTGCCTACGCTGCAGTTGACTGATAGCAGGGATTTGGGCAGGAATTCCTTGAACAAAAGACGGCCTGCGGTGCCTCAAAGCCTGGTGGATGCGCTTCTCAGGAATACCTTGTTTCGGTGTGGTGGATGCGCGCTGCTTCTCTCGAGCCGAATTTTGGATTCCATGAGAGCTAAGCGGCTTGGCTTGGGGGTCACCTGCCTGGCGTTGGAGGGCATCACCATCAGCCCATGAAATTTCATCTTCGATGTTAGCAAAACAAAACGTGTTCAGCCTTGCTTAGCTGCACAATGTGTGTAAACTGCCCAATTGAAGTTTAATATAATTTCAGAAGAACCAATCTGAGACAAGCTCCACAAGACAATTGCTGCCCTTGAAAGCCACGGAGGTACAAGCTCCTCTACACGTTTCGCTCACAATTATCAGATGACAACTCTTACAATTGTGTGTACCAAAAGCAAGATGAGAATGGAAATAGTCCTGGCCTCAGCTATAATTAATTATCAGCTGGCTACAATGGATGTTCAATTTATTTCAAGCTGCTTCTGTGAATTCTCAAAGCTATTCGCAAACACAGGTGGCGTGGCCTTGTCCAAGGACAGCCGGACTTAAAACCCTTGCCGGGGCAAGATTCAAAGTGATGTGTTTCAATGGCCCTGTTTCAGTGTAGCTTTGGTACTCGTTGGATCTTGTTGGTCTTTCAATGGCATATATAAATCATGCTTGCTTCATAAGATCAGCCTGATGTGCATTGCCGCTCTCCAGCTTTTATGGGCTTCGTGGCCAATTTGTTCCGGTTCTTTCGGGTTTCCCACCTTACCCAGTCCAGGTTGGCCTGCCTGTTCTATTGCAGTCCACCTAGCATAGGTTGCCTTTCGGCCTCTTACTCTTTCTTGCTTGGCTGATCATTTACAGTATGGGATTGCTCTCGCCGGCTTTGGCACTTGCTTGGTCACTCCCTGGCTGAGCAACTGTCCTTCAACATGGTTGAGGCATGACACCCACCAATTCCTCGCCGTTTGGGTGGGCATCGATGCAATTGAACAAAGATTTGATGGTGCGGATTGTAAACCGAATGTAGTTGTACCACTTTTATGCTTCTTGTCGTTTCGACTTTTCAATCTGCGGGTGGGGTGGGTGCTGGGGAGTGGCACAAGTGGCACCCATGCTGACAGAGATGAAACGATCCAACAGCATACACCGCAATTCGGAAAAATCAAATCAATATCTATGTGCGGCAGTTTTAGTGGCGTGACTGCCAAATACGCATGAGAAAGACTTGATGATGGGTTTCACCATGAAAATTGGCACGGGCGAAACGATCATTCTTTCAATGGAATGACAAACGATGGTTGTAGCATCAGAAATGTGTTCAAAACCATTCAACACTGAGGTTTGTTGCAACTTGTATTTTTCCTCAAAGCATGTTCAGCTTTCAACCCGGCGCGGCGTTTGGTTGTGCGGTCAGGACATCGTGAAGGTTGCCGGCCGTGCCATGCGACAGAACTTTGTCGTGGCCTCAACCAGCATTCTTGATAAGTAAGGGTCAGTGATGGACCAAAATTGTTCAAGACACCTCGGAAGCTGATATTTGTAGTTGCCGCTCAGAATGATCAGAATGCTCCACGAGTCTGACTCGACTCGAAGGACAGAGAAACAGTCCCCCGCGATGAGCAGTCTTGCATACTATTTCGGGGCTAATGAGACTTTGCTCCAAGCTACCACTTTTGAGTTGCCGTTGGTTTGTCATGGATCGTTTTACGCCATGGCTGAGGTTCAGCTTGGTCCTCATGTGTTGCCTGTCCGGGAACAAGCAAAAGTTCTTTGCCATGCACTCAGATTACACTGATTCCACCAACTGCTTCCGCGCAACGCGGGGTAGCTAGGCGGTCGGTTCTTCGAGGAATTGGTTGAGACCGCCACGATGCTGTCGCGGCGAGAGGTCGCGACAGCGGTGGGGTTGTCAAGACTAGATTCGCCCAAACCCTTAACAGTTAACACAAGAAAGAGAGAGCAAGAGAGAGTTGAGAGGAGCACGGATAAACAAAACTGCTAATTAAATTAGTACCAATCCATATCTATCTGCTGTGTTGATACTTGCAACCGTGTGTGAAAAAGCCAGCTTGTAAGGCAATCACTTCCTCGTAAGAGTCTTGTCCATTGCCAAAGAGAGGTGCCGCGTCCTGTGTTGGCTTTGAGCGCCAAATGAAGGGCCACACAGCTCAAGCTCAAGTCATTTCATGACACACACATTTCACCTTGAAAACTGGAGTCAACTCGCTTTGTCACAGTTCAATTGCTTCCCACCAAACCAAGCCACCTGGCAATCTGAGCAGACTTGGGTAAGCTCCTAGTCAGTGTTAAAACAAGCAAAAGGTTGTGAAGATGTGGCTGTGTGAAACCGATCAATGATATATTCTACTGTAATTGCTTGTGGCTAAACGTCGCAAACCAAGCAGCTGCCAATGCGCCAAGCAGCCAGGGGTTGGCCCTTGGCGAGTCGCTTTGCCACACCTGAAGGCTACACACCAAACTTCAGCAAAGGCAACTTGGCCCATTTCCAGGACCATCCTGGATGGTGGGATGCACTTTGGATTGGTGGGTCTACGTGGGTAGGACACAGTGCCAAGGGTTGGTGTAAGCCTCATTCCTTTTGGAGTTCAATAGTCACAAGTCAGAAGTATTTGGGGTACATGTGAGGAAAAAAACAGCGAGCCCCTAATACGAAATTGCTTTTCTTCACAAATTCCACCTACAGTAGATTTGTCACTGTTCCGTGTTCTCTCTTATTGTTTTCTTAGACAGTACCAGTAGCGTTTCTTTCGGTTTGCACGCCCTTCGATTGGAATACAATCATTCAACATCATTCAACTGACAGCACGGTTTGCATGTGAAACTATTGTGCTGCAAGGCCATAGGTGGCAAACATCAGCTTACTGATGTGCTTCCTTGATGTGTTACCCACAACGCTTAAATCAATGCAAACATCAACCGCTTCCTGTCCATGCCCGATTCCCGGCTCAAGAAAAGCCCTGCTTGCAGTATCCACTTGCTTGCACCGTGCTTAGTGACGCAGCTGCAGAATTTGAGGTGGATTGTGTGACTTGTTCGGCTTACCGCTTACCTTTTTCTACAGTATGATTTTGTTCAACAGAATCACCAAATTGTGGCATTTTGTTCAAAGCAACGTTTTGACATGCGTTGACCTTTTGACTGGTTAGCAGAGGCTGCATTTCTGGAACCCCCCCTAGTACTAACCTACCAGATCCTACCAGTATATTTTAAACATTTTTAAACATGTTGATACACATTTAATAGATTTTAAATATATCCAGTCATCTCACAGAAGTGGATGTGCGATTGGCGCAGCTTTTTGGGGTCAAGAGTACATGAGCCTTTCCTTCATACTTCCCGAAGTACTGCGAGAACTCCGGTGGTGGGGAGGTTCATCTAGTTGTCCGTGGGGCGCTATTGGTTTGGCCTTGGTGCGTGGCGATTGGGAGCTGGATTTGTGGATTCGTTTTCGCTGCCCTGATCTTTAGCCCACAGTGTAGGCGGCTGTTGAGTGGGGATCCACTTAGGACCTTGTGAGTCGCTCACAGTCCGGCTGGGACAACTAGGGTTGACCATCAGTGTGCGCCCAGTGAGCACCTGCTCCTGGCTTGACCATTGTGCATTCAGAGCCAGCTGGCTTTCCTCCCGCAAACACCTGGGAGACTTGATCGACTGGTCTTGTCTGCCGGCCCTGCTGAAAACTTTTGAGGGGCCTTGACTTGCGGCTCTTGGCTGACGGGAAGCGATCGAGTGTGCCCAGGTCCAATTTCGACGTAGTGTCCCAGTGCATTGCCTTTTCTCATTTTTGTTTGTCCAGTACCTGAGTCACATGGCCGCCGGAGATTCAGTCAGATCCTTAGACGTTGAAGGTGTGACAGCGCTTTCACACGAGCTTTCACCAGTGCAATTTTTGTTGGAGAGTGGAGAAGGAGGTGGCAACCCGTTAGTTGCAGCATGCTTCGTAGTCTTCGTCAGATTAGGGGGGTTCATGCTAGCCGTGCCAAATTCAGAAGATTTTGCAAGATGCCATTTTGCAGTTAGAGCTAGGCGAGGTTGCTCCTGCTTTCCATCCGGTGTCAGTCGAAGTATTGACAGCTCGTGGCAAGTCCCTACAAATAGGAGAGATCTTCCTTGTAGATTTACCGTGGTCTGCAGCCCCGTTCTTCTGTCAGCCTATCACGAAGCGCGGGGTTTTTCGCAATGCAGAGTTCGTTCAAGTAGCTGTAGGAGACAAAGTTGGCAAACCTTCGAAAGAGCAAGTCTTTGCAGCCGCCGAGGCATGGATAGCTGCTGGGATGGACGAAGACACAGAGGGAGGAGGCGCTAGATGCAGAGGAGCCAGATGTCAGCCAACCTGGCAGGCCCCAAGTTTCAGTGATCCAGGCTCGGGCCAGCCTCAAGAAGTCCAAGCTCTTTTGAGACGTGTAGCCGAGCTAGAAAGCCAGTTGAAAGCAGCTCCTCGAGCCGCGCGCAGCCGGTCCAACCCCGAAGGCGGCAGGCGCTCCTCCACCCTGAGTGGGCCAAGCAGAGACTCGGCGCCCATTCGTTCCAGCAGAGACTGTATTGCAGGAACATGCCTTGGTCAGTTTGGAGCGGGAGGTCGAGGAGGACGCTGTAGCAATGCCAGACCTAGGTCAGATGGCGCTTTCCAGCGCGGATCCATTGCAGCAGATCCTGGCAGTGCAACTTCAGCAGAACCAGCTGCTGATCCAGAAGCTCTTGCCCAAGCACCTAGGGGCCCTCTCAGGAGGGGGGTCAGGCAGTGGCTCAAACGTCAAAGGGTGCTTGGCCAGAGAAGCTTTCCAAAGAGCGATTCAGGACCTTCCCAAAGTTGCAGTACTCACTCAGAACAATGCGATGAAAGAGTTGGGTATCGGCCCAGACTGCTTGCTGGATGCTTCGCTGATGCGCAAATATGTGGAACGCCGCATGCCTCTGGCCGAGTTTCGACTGCTCAGCCTGGTAGCCACAATGCTTGCCGAGAGCTGGGCCATAGGTTACGAGGCTCAGGACAAGTTGCTGATGGGAGCCGTGTCCAGGATGATGTTCTTTGTGGAGCAGACAGCGCTGGACTCAGGTCGGGCTCAGTTGGCTTGGCTTTTGTCAGGATATCCAAAGCCAGCGAGTCACATGATGATGACCGCTCGAAAGAAGCCAGGCTTGGAGCCTTTTGCTCGACTCTGCCCTGCATCATGGATCTCAGCAAACCTGTCATACCTCCACGATTTTTTAGATTACATGGAGACTCGCATAGCCAATTTGTCCAAGCCAAATCGAAACAAGCCTCCTCTGTCAGACGACGACAACAAGGAAGCCAAAACGAAGCCAAAGCCTCAACTCAAGTCGAAGGGGAAGGGAAAGGGTGCCAACAAAGCTGCCTCGGATCAAGCCGAAGCTCATCCAAGTTCTTAGGCTCGGGCTCCGAGTACAATGATAGGCCCCCAAACTGGGATGCTTCGTTTGATAATTAAGCCTACTACCCTCCCCAAACAAAAGACGTTTGTAGATCAACATGCGGCCAATTTGAGAAATCTCATTTTGATCCCATTCAGCTTATGCAAGTTTTGTGTGATGAGTTTTTCAATTGCAATACTGGTTTAACTCATTTTGTCAAGGCTAGTCTTGCCAGCCCCACCTGCACTGTGCATGGTCCCTCCAAAGGGTCCTTGTGGCCTGTCCCCCCGATCAGGTGGCGATGGACGGCAACCTTGAAGCCGAACCCACGGCGTCGGAGGCGCCGCAAGCTTTTTGAAGTGAGAGCCCGCCTGCTCAATGTTTTGCTTTGCACGTTGAATTGGGAAACTCTGGGGAATGTGAAAACGCCCCCTTCCTGTGCTCAGCCAGGGGCGCCAATCAGCCAGCATCAGCATAGCATCATCGAGCGTTTCGAAGGCATGCTATCTCACTTTCTCAGCATGGCTCCCTTTGAGGGTTCGGAGCTGGGCCGAGCTGCGGGTAAATTTCAAGGCTTAATTGATTCTTTGACGGAACTACCTAAGACAACCTTACGGTATGAGGACCTCTTTGATCTGTTTTTTGATTCGCGCAGAAGTTTTGATCCATACAAGTCGCATTTTGCGAAACCAGTCAAGCTGCCAGATCCGCCACCTGACCACGAGCCCTTGATCGGTAGAAGCACTGTTACAGCCACCTTGCAGAGTGCCAAGCCGGTCGAAGCTGACAGGATCAAGTGGGAAAATCCGCCGTCCTTTGAGGCCTCAGGATATTTGGATCCTTTGGTTCGTGAAGCTTTTCTGGAACCCGAAGTTTTGAGGAAACCCCCAAATGAATGGCCCAAGGCTCTTCCAGCCAAAATGCACGCTAGCCGAGGTGAAATGATGAAGCTCATTATAATAGATGGGACAAGTTGGGTGCTTGTTGCATCATACCAGCCGACTCCAAGGACTTTAGCGAAGCTGTCGGGGCTTTTGCTGTTGATAAGGATTCCCATTTTGATAGGCTCATCATCAACCCAAAAACTATTAACGGTCGCACGCATAGCTATTCGCATTCAACAAAAGAACTTGATCCCGGTTGCGTGCTAGGGTTGCTGAGTTTGGAAGCTGATCACTTGGGTGTGCTTTGGAGTAGGAGGACTTAAAAGTGGTTTGTAACTTACTTGCAAATTCAATATGTTGCTCAGAACCTGTCTAACTAGACTAGAAGTAGTGTAACTTCTGAAGACTTCTGCAGAAAGTTACAAGTTACTTAGTGATTTGTTCCAATATATTTCCCCTAACTTAATGGAAGTTATTTTGAACTTATTTTGAAGTTATTGTGTCACAAAAAGCTTGTTGGCTTTCTGTTTGGTTGATAAGCAAAAGTTGCGCCGCTGAACCAACCTCCTCAGTTCATAACTTTTTTGGCTTGCCATTTTCATTGCGGTTTTCACCGTTTCAGGATGAATGGAAATGTTCACATTTCAAGTTTCCGCATCAGATTTCATTTCACCACATCACAAAAAAGGAGTGTGTACTAGTGAATAAACAGCCTGCCTGGGCTTGTTTCATCAGAGCACCGACTGAAGCTTAAAGACACGACCTATAGCAGCCAAGCCAGTGAAGCACACGGTAAAGGTAAATCTCACTTTTAAACAAATTGTATTTCTCACTCTTCAAATTTAGGGGTGGCCTGGCTCTGCGTTTTCAAGAAGGAGAATATAGAGTAGTTCTGCAAGGTTGCCGATGTCTTTAGAAAGGACATGCAAATCAAACTTGAAAAATTGTGAAAATGTCAAATTATATTTTCAAGTTACACCCAAGGTGATGGTGATGCAGGTCCCCGCGTAACTCGCACCTGTTTGACCGCAAAAGTCAGCAAATGACAGAGAGCCACCCGTATACCACCGTATACCGTCCGTATCCCAGCCGTATACCACCGTATACCGTCCGTATACCAGCCGTAAACCATCCGTATACCACCATCACCCCCGTCTACACTACCGTCCGTATACGACCCGTATACCACCCCCCCCCACCCACCTTCCCCCT